ATTCCGAGGTGGAAGTGGGAGGAAGTTACTATGGATTTCGTTACGGGATTGCCGAGGTCGTCTGAACATCACGACGCTATCTGGGTCGTGGTCGACAGATTTACCAAGGTGGCACATTTCTTACCCGTTTCGATGAAGAGGTCTCTGGACAAGTTGGCTGAGATATATACCCGTGGGATCATCCGACTCCACGGAGTGCCCGTCACGATTGTATCAGACAGAGATCCTAGATTCGTCAGTCGATTCTGGCACAGGTTACATGAGGCGATGGGCACCAAGCTTGAGTTTAGTTCAGCCTACCATCCGGAGACGGACGGTCAGTCAGAGAGGACGATTCAGACACTTGAGGATATGCTACGTGCCTTGGTTGTTGACAGGGGTGCCAAGTGGGAGTCACTGTTGCCGTACGTAGAGTTCGCGTATAACAACAGTTATCATTCTTTTATTCAGATGGCTCTGTACGAAGCACTTTATGGTCGCAAGTGTCGTTCCCCTCTCTATTGGGACGACGTAGGAGAGCGGCGAGTACTCGGTCCTAAGATGATCGAGGAGACAGCAGAGCAGGTCGAGTTGATCCGACAGAGACTCAAGACAGCTCAGAGTCGACAGAAATCTTCCGCCGATCATCATCGACGAGACATTCAGTTTGAGGTTGGCGAGCACGCCTTTCTCAGAGTTCGCCCGGTTCGCGGAGTAGTGCGATTCGGCAAGAGAGGGAAGCTGCACCCTTGTTTCATAGGTCCGTTCGAGGTTCTCGAACGAGTAGGCGAGGTCGCGTATCGTCTAGCCCTACCTCCCGAGTTATCAGGCATTCATAATGTGTTCCACGCATCGATGTTGCGTAAGTACGTGTGCGACCCCGATCATGTCATCCCTCATACGGATATTCAGGTTCAGCCAGATTTGTCGTACGAGGAGCGACCGGTAGCTATACTAGACCGTCAAGTTCGTCGGCTCCAGAAGCGAGATATCCCCTCGTGCGCATTCAGTGGGATCGCCACGGAGCTACTTGGGAGGAAGAGTCGGACATTCGCGCTCGTTTTCCAGACTTCCAGTTTTGATGTACATATTTTGTTATCCTATGTACATAATTCATGTATAGTAGTCATGTTTTGAATTTCCGAGGACGGAAATTTTGTAAGGAGGGAGGATTGTAATATCCCGATATTTTATCGGTATAAATTACGTTTTAATTCCGATATAATAATGTTATCGTTTATTATTTTTGGAATTAATTAAGTTCAGTCCAGATTACCGAAATCTATTTTCGACGTACCGTTTACGTTCGAAATAATTTTGGTAAT